GTCTTTCTCTAACTGACTAATTTCACTTAACATGATCCCCTCTAGTTCCATCCACGTTGTTGGAAATGGCAAGATTTCACTCATTTTGATTGCCGAGTACTACTCCATTGTATATATACACCACATCTTCTCTATCCATTCATCCATCAATTGACATTTGGACTCTTTCTATACCCTGGCTCTTGTCAATAGCGCTGCTATAAACATTGGGGTGCATGTGCCCTTTCGAAACAGCACACCTGCATCCCTTGGATAAATGCCTAGTAGTGCAATTGCTGGGTCTAACTTGCTTTATCAAGTTAGAGAAGTTCCCGTTCTGTTCCTGATTTTCTGGATGCTTCCTTTTTTTGGTTTTAATCAGGAATGGAGATGATCATAAGTGTTTTAGCCCTTCTTTTGTTAATGTGATACAGATTATTTTAGAATGCTTTTAGTTCATTCAAAGTCATGACTTAGGTTAAAGGAATACAATGTTGAAAATGAGAGCTTCATTAAATCAAGGTTGAGGTATAAACAATGAAGTAAGAGTCTAAATTGTTGCAGGATCTTTTATTAACTGAATCACTTTTAGTCAACAAAGGGAATTGAGGTTAACTCAATTTTAAAGAGCTCTAAATCAAAAGGATTTTTTCTGTCTATGAGGAGGGTCACGACTGCCAGCTTGCCAAGTCATTGATAAAAATGTCTGTTTCTACAGATGGGCTGTTTTAGAAAAACCGCATCCATGAAGTAGAGTGATTGGAAAGGGTAGGACATTGCAGTTGGGTGGGGATTTCACCCGTGTTCCCAGGAGCACCGCTGCCTGCTGACTCCCCAGAGGCCGCAGGAAGAAGTCCTGGAAAAGTAAGAGAAAGGGGTGGGAAGGAACTCAGGACTCGGCTCAGCGCCTTTCTCTGACTGCCTGTCACTACAGGTATCAGCCTAGGACATTTCCAGCGAAGTTTCTGTCTATACTGGGAAATCTCCATCTCGCTGAAATGCAAACAAGCTTGTGTTTCCTTATGCACAAAAATGAATGGCTTTCGTCAAGGTAGACCATTTTTCAAAAACCAAATACATTTTGTGATGAGTAATGGTTTGATGAGATTGTTGATTACTGTTCTTCTGGTTCGGTTTATTAGCCCAGCGTTCTGTAGTTCACTCTAAATTTAAAAAAAAATTTTTTTAAATGTTTTTTATTTATCTTAGAGAGAGAGAGACAGCGTGAGCAGGGGATGGAAAGAGAGAGAGGGAGACACAGAATCTGAAGACAGGCTCTAGGCTCTGAGCTAGCTGTCAGCACAGAGCCTGATGTGGGGCTCAAACTTGTAAACCACAAAATCATGACCTGAGCTGAAGTCGGACGCTTAACTGACGGAGCCACCCAGGCGCCCCTTGTAGTTCACTTTAATACAGTATGACAGTATGACAGTAATATCTCATTCACAATCCACTTTCAGATTCAATGGACATAATATCTCATTCACAATCCACTTTCAGATTCAATGGATATAATAAGTAGGCCATAGCACAAAATTAGTCTACCTAGAAAAATCTTAAAAAAAAAACAATTCATCGAAAATATTTAAGAAGAGATCAGATGGCTACAGGTGTTGCTTCCACGGGAAATTAATGAATGATCTGATCATTTATTAATTAATGACAACAGTGTTTTAGACATATGTTCTCGCTCTGTTTTTAAGGATGAGTTTCCCCAATGGAAATAAGACAAAACAAAAACACAGGGCATCAGAGCCAGAATATCTGGGTTTAAGTATCGTTGTACCTTTTACTGATTGTGTAACCTGGGCAAATAATTTCGCTCCATAAACCTGTTTTCTCATCTGTAAAACGGTCACTCCAGAGTTGTTAGCAAGATTACATGGCGTGGGGCATGTCGAATGCCCAAGATAACGGACGAGCAGAACATGGTATTTCTAATTCTTTTCTAGGAAAGCAGCATTATCCATCACTCTGCAGGACTGCATGGTGATTAGAGCAGGGACTCGGAGGTTACACTTTCCTGGGTTGACTCCTGGCTCCACTATCTCACCAGCTATGTGAGGAAGGGCTCATGATTTAAACTCTCCATGCCTCAGTTTTGTCACCTGTGAAATGGGCATAATGAAAACACCTTCTGCACAGGGTGATATTGAGAATTAAATGGGTCTATTCATGTAAAATGCTTAGAGCTGTGCCCGGCACCCAGAGATCCTGTCTAAGTGTTCCCTAGGATTATAAGACACTGATTGTCGGTTGTATTGGCATATCTCAGAATTGCTTACATTTTAACGACAGCTGTGATTAATAACATGTGGATGGTTATCACTTTCTAATTTGAAGGCCAGGGGCGTAGCGGAGAGGGTATGGAAACAGAGCTGGCCATACATTCCCTGGCCGCCCTGGGCTGTGTGTGTTGAAAGCAGCATGTTTGCAGTTTCTCGCTCTGGGCCCAGGGAGGAAGGAACATTACATTCCCCCGTGGGGGCCACTCACCCCCGCTCAGCCTTTGTTTTAATGAGCACCAATATTTTTTAGTTCCATTGTAAATGCTGTTTATAGTGAAAACTACATTTCAACAACATTAAAGGATTTTTTTTTTAATGAAGAATGAATCAACTACAGACAGGCCACCTGATGCAAAAACTCATTTCACTGCTTCCATTTTCCTCTAGTGTGTGTTTATGTGTGTGTTTACCCGGTGGCCATCACTGTGTATATACAATTTTATACTCTGTTTATTGTAATCAATAACCCTTTCCCTGGACTTTATAATTATTATTATTATTGATGTCTGCACAGTCAGGTGGATCGGCCATAATGACTCCTCTTTTGAAAACCAGAATGTTCATGTTTTACATGCTTTAGGAGAACTCTACATGTGAGTGATAGTAAAGAAATTATAAGAGAAAAGGCAATCAAAGACTTAAACCTCGTTATAGCAGGAGGGAAGAGAAAGGAGCAAGTATTTGATTGCCTAAGAGCTGTGAAATCCTATAATTTGATTTTGCAAATGACTTCTACCCCAAATGTTTTCTTTAACAGATCTATTTTTACATTTAAGAGAATTAAAAAGAAGTCGCATTTGACGGGTATGTGGAGGCTCATTATACCATCGACTACTCTGGTCTATGTTCAAAACTTTCTGTAATTAAAAAGGTTGAAAGAAAAGAATGTGCTTATAAACAATTTTTCCTACACCCTTGGAAACAGTTTGAAGGGTCTCTTGGTGAGCAAACCGCCACTAGCCCCAGTGGCAACTTGGTGAGAATTTTCAAAGCCCCTTTTCCTCAAGAGTCCCCGTCCTCCCTGAAGCTGTAGGGGATTGCACACCTGCAGCATCTACGCTGGACACAGTGCTTCCTTGGCTTTGACATCTGGTGCTACCTACAGCTTCCTACCATCCACGGAGCCCCTGCTTGGGTATCACTAAACTGTATTAAGAACATCTTCCTTAAGAAGGTGAGGCAGGGGGTGGAGGCAGCGGCGGTTTCGTCATCCATGGCCTGAACTGGGTAGGGAGTGACCAGACATAAGTGATGGTACAAGAGGCCTTGCCCTGCCCACCCCATCTTGGACCGAGGCCATCGGACCTGCTGACGCAAGACACCTTGCCTGGACATTGCAGTAATTCGAGGACGATAATCCTGAATCATAATTAAGGGATGGACAATCAGGGAACACCAGACATAGGAGGAAAACCAGCAACATGCAATTAATAATAATTACCATTATCATAATCATCATTGCAAACACTTATTGGATGCTCACTTCGTGCCAGGAGATGTTTGAATCATTTTGCATATATTAAGTCACTTGATCTTTTTTTTGAATTTTTAAAATAGTTTTTATTTATTTTTGAAACAGAGAGAGGCAGAGCATGAGCAGGGGAGGGGCAGAGAGCGAGGGAGACACAGAATCTGAAGCAGGCTCCAGGCTCTGAGCTGCCTGCACAGAACCCGATGCGTGGCTCAAACCCACAAACTGCAAGATCATGACCTGTGCTGAAGTCAGACGCTTAACTGACTGAGCCACCCAGGCGCCCCAAGTCACTTGATCTTTACACCTTGATTTCACAGGGAGGAAACAAAGGCATAGAGAGCTATAGCTTTTCAATGTTTGGAAAAAGAACCACATGAAAGAAATTTAGGGGAAAATAAAAGAAAACACAATTACCCCAACTTCTATCCCTCTTACAGAATACTTTCATTTCCCAAGATTACTTTTTGTTCACAGTCAACTTGCTTTTTATTTTTTATTTTATTATTATCATTTTTTTCCTTTTTCTTTTTTTAAAATTTATTTCTGAGAGAGAGAGAGAGAGAGACACAGCATGAACAGGGGAGGGTCAGAGAGAGAGGGAAACACAGAATCTGAAGCAGGCTCCAGTCTCTGAGCTAGCTGACAGCACAGAACCCAACACAGGGCTTGAACCCACGAACCATGCGATTATGACCTGAGCCAAAGTAGGATGCCCAACTGACTGAGCCACCCAGGCGCCCTTATTATTATCATTTTTAAATAAGCTCTATACTTAACGTGGGAACTCGTGACCCCAAGATTGAGTCACATGCTCTACTGACTGAGCTAGCCAGGTGCTGCCCCACCAACTTGGTTTTTAAAATAACCTTATTCTTTCTATAAAAATGATGCACGCTCATAAAAAAAGCTCCAAGCAATAAAAAAAAAAAGTACAAATAAGAGCAAAATAGAGAGTTGATATTTAAGACCAGAATGTTGCTTGTGTCATGTGACCCTAGTTACTGGTGTGTCTATTGTTAAAGTGTGAGTCACTCAAGTAAAATATTACTTTAGTAACATCATGGAACTTGGATGTTTTTGCTAATTATTGAGTAAAGGCAAACTTAAAGTTTGTGTTCTGAGGTATAAATACCTGAGGTACCAAAAACTTCTGTAAGTTCTTAAATTATATGACTTTTTCTAGAATAAAAAAATAAAGTCCTTTGTAGAAGACATTGGAAACAATAAATTCTTCTTGATATTTTCTTTCTGTTCATTAGAGACTCGCTTTCGCCACTAAATCAAAAGCTATAGATATCTACTGCCTGGCCTATAAGCATCCTGAGGGAATAAGGTAATGCTTTTCTTAGCCTCTGAGAGGATATTGTTGTCTTATATAGCTCCTGGAAAAAGTTTTGTTATTCAGATTTCTCTGAAGGGCTTGAGGCTGAAAAGAATCTGTTGAGAAAGAAGAATTATCTCATAATTTCAACACTGAAAGGACCTGTATACTGTCCATTTCACCACTGAAACATTTGGAGATAAGGAAACAGGTCAGGGAGGTTGAGGAGAGAAACAAAAGTCACCCTGAACTGAGACCAGAATCCAAGTTTCTTGATTTGTAGTCTTTGGAGACATTTATTCCTACCTGCACCTTGGAAAATGGGGTGGGGGGAAAAATAGGTAGTTGAAATAAGAGCCCAAAACAGGCCATTTTTTTGTTGTTGTTGTTGCTCAGAAAGTAAAGTCTTCTGGAAAGTTCCCTAACTTCCAATAAAGTGTGGCAGGTTTCCAGGATTAGACAAGTGGATACATAAGACTCTCACTAAAAGATTTCAGAAAGTACCATCTTGTACTTCTAAACAGGACATTAGCAGATTTCAAAAGCACTTCCCATCTCCACCCTGAGAGGCAGTACTTATTTATAGCTGAGGAGCGAGAAAGGAGAGAGCTTGTGTCCTGATGTGTCCCCTATCCACCTGTACCCGCTCCCAGTGGGGACCAAAGGATCCCTGAGTCAGGCCTTGGGCCAGCGTTGAAAGATGGTACGCAAGTGGGTGATGATAATAATAAAAAAACGCTCTTTGGGGTTTTAGCGATCTCACACCCCTGTGATCCCTTGTTGAACTCAGCATAGGTTTTAAGAGTAGAAGGCTGCTCCCAAAAGCCTCACCATAGATTCTCCCTTGGGGCCCAAGGACCACATCCTCTAAGAGGGTGCTCCAGTCCTAGCCTTCTACAACCCTAAGACCCCCTGATGTTTCCGCAGGCTTACTAGAAGAGCATCAAGCACCACATTCAAAGAATGGAGAAGCACCAGAGGGACAGACTACTGCATAGTGGACGACAGTGTTGAGTCCGGGAACCTAGAAAGCTTTCCAGTGACCTTGAAGCTTGCTATGTTTGGCATCTTCATCATTGTGATATTTGTCTACATAACAGTGGAAAGGAAGCCATTCTTTGGTTAAGTGCTTTAGGAACAGAGCAATGAGGGAGCACCTGAGAACTGGAAAGACTTCTCTGAAGAGGGGTGCTGGGCCCCATGGCCTGCTGGCCTTGCTCTATGCCACCCTCACAGATCTGTACCCAGGCTCATAATTTCAAAGCCGAAGGGACCTTACGTACTCTCTAGTTCACCACTTATGTTGCAAGACAAAGAAACAGACCAGGGAGGTTGAGGGAAATGCTAAAAGTCACAATGAATGGAGACCAGAATCCAAGGCGGGAAGAAGGAATGAGGGAGAGAACCAGGCACTTGTGTGAAAAAGTTTGATGACAGGGACTTCCCCAAGTCATGCTGGCCATCATTAAAGGTGCTTCCACACTTGGCATACTTCTAAAAAAGAAACTGTGCCTGGTGTTTTTCTTTTCAGCTATGGTGATAAGCCATACGTCTGACTTGATTCGAAAGGCCACAACAGGTAATTAACAAAAAAAGGAAATGTGTCTGGTTTGGCAAACACAAAGCAAAACCCAACATCATCAAACAGTTTAGAACAAGATAGCATTTCTGCCATTGGAATGTAGCAAGATTTGAAACAATTAATGTCTGATGAGGGAATGTTATGCTCGTGGCCTCTGGGAGAAGGGCAGAGCTGGGTAGGTACCTGCCTCCTCTGTTTATTGGCTCTGTGACCCTGGGTGAGTTAGTTCTTCTCTGAGCTTTAGTTTCTTCCTTCCTTCCTTCCTTCCTTCCTTCCTTCCTTCCTTCCTTCCTTCCTTCCTTCCTTCCTTCTTTCCTTCCTTCCTTCCTTCCTTCCTTCCTGTCTTTCTTTCTGTCTGTCTTTCTGTCTTCTTTCTGTCTTTCTGTATTTCTTTCTTCCTGTCTTTCTTTCAAGACTTTCACTCTTTCTTTCTTTCTTTCTTTCTTTCTTTCTTTCTTTCTTTCTTTTTCTTTCTATGTTTATTCTTTTTTGAAGGACAGAGGGAGACAGAGCATGAGCAGGGGAGGGGTAGAGAGAGGGAGACACAGAATCTGAGGCAGGCTCTAGGCTCTGAGCTGTCAGCACAGACCCCAATAAGGGGCTCAAACCCATGAACTGTGACATCATGAACTGTGAGCTTTAGTTTCAACTTCTGAAGATAAGGATAGGACAGACCTCTTAGGGGGTTGAGGAATTTGAAGAAATAGTGCATATAAAGTATTGAGTGTGGTCCACAATCAAATGGTAGTAAGCCTTCAAGAGATGCGCAAGCAATGTTACACTTTGGGACAATATTTCTGCTTCCCAGAGGAGCTAGTTCTAGATACAGACAAGTCTTTTCCCTCCCTTTTTAAAAGTTTTTAAATTCCAGTTAATATACAGTGCAATATTAGTTTCAGGTGTACAATACAGTGATTCAGTAGTTCATACAGCACCCCGTGAGCATCACAACAAGTGCCTTCCTCAATGCCCATCACCTATTTTGCTCATCCCCCATCCCCACCCCCAACTCCTGTCTGGTAGCCATTTGTTTGTTCTCTATAGTCAAGAGTGAGAAGTACTTTTTTTTTTTTTTTAAAGTAAACTCTACATGCAATGTGGGGCTCGAACTCATGACCCCGAGATCAAGAGTCACATGCTGTCATGCCCAAATTGCGAGTCCCCAGAGACCTCCAAGGAGCCAGCACCGATGCAAGAACAAAAGGGTCTTTATTACAAGCTCAAGCAGGGGCTCACCTGTCTACTGGCACAACAGCAGCAAAGTGAAGCCTCGAACAGTGGCGAGCAGGGTTTTTATGGGGGAAGGGCGGGGGTGTTACCATGCACACGTTGCACGTTTTGCATCATTACATAAGCACCAATATAATTGTACAATACCCATAGTAACAGCATAGTAACAGTTTTGACCATTCAGTAGCTGCGAGGCATCCAGTTACATTTGGAGGGACCCAATCATGACCTTTGAGAGTCTTTTAAAATGACCCATTATGAGGTGGGCTCAGAGAATCTACATGGGGCTCCTGCAAGCAGTGATTGATTGGCAAGTTTGTACAAAGTAACTACCTGCAGTTCCCAGCCCTGACTCGTCTCCAAGACTACAGGAATGTTACACATTTCTTTTGATTGGCAGATCTGAGGGTGGTCAGAGAGCTGCTTCAGCTGAGGCTTTTCCTGGAACTGGGACTACGTGCAGCCTGAGGTTGTTTCTAATGGAGGACTTAATTTCAGGCTCCTCAGTGCTCTACTGTCTAAGCCAGCCAGGTACCCCTAGGGAAGTCTTTTTTTTTTTAATGTTTTATTTATTTCTGAGAGAGAGAGAGAGAGAGAGAGAGACAGCGTGAACAGGGGAGGGTCAGAGAGAGAGGGAGACACAGAATCCGAAACAGGCTCCACAGAGCCCGACATGGGACTTGAACCCACGAACCGTGAGATCATGACCTGAGGTGAAGTCGGATGCTTAACCGACTGAGCCACCCAGGTGCCCTACCCCTAGAGAAGTCTTAAGTATCAAGAAGTTGACTGTAGCAATTTTTATGGTAACCAAAATGTAGAGCCAACCCACATATCCAAACATAGGGGAAGTACAGCCTCTTGACATAATTATAGAATAATTATAAATACTAACAATGAATTTATCATAACAGAATATGCTTATTTATAAAAATTTAATGACAGCTATATTGATATATAGTTTATATGCCATACAATTCACCTAAGGTGTACAATTCAATGATTTTTTAATATACTCATATTTAGAATATTTTCATCACTCCTAATTTACTTTTTTTTTTTTTAGGTAAACTATGCCCGACATGGAACTCAAACTCCCAATCCCAAGATCAAGAGTTGCATGTCCTACTGACTGAGCCAGCCAGATGCCCCACCCTTAATTTACTTAAAAGTTTTTAAATTGCTTTTAATTACTTTTTTCTTTTTTTTTAAAGATTTTATTTTTAAGTAATCTCCACACCCTACGTGGGGCTTGAAGCCCCAACCCTAGGATTAAGAGTCACACACTTCACTGACTGAGCCAGCCAGGTACCCCTAAACTTACTTTTTTTTCTAATGGCACACAACAAAAGATGCAGATTTATTATTACCATGTTACCACAACTGTATAAAACACCAGAAGAAAATATGTGAAAATGTTAACAGTACTTCAGTGATAGGATCTCCGATTCCAATTCTCTTTTCCTGATTTCTACTTTTCCACAGATTTAAAGATTTCTATAAGCAGGCTGTGTTAATTTGCTAATGAGAGAGAATAAATTTTAATATTTAAAAATGGTAATACTGTATTACATTTTAACTGCAAGGAACATAAGTCTCTGGTAAGGGGGCTTAAACCAATAAGAATTTATTTTTATCTCATAAAAAGAAATTTGGAGCTTGAGACATATAATATTGTTAAAAATAACCAAATGTAATATGATTCTGATTCAAATAAACCAACTGTAGAAAAAATTAGGATCCAAAAAATCTGAGGGGCACCTGGGTGGCTCAGTCAGTTGAATATCTGACTCTTGATTTCGGTTCAGGTCACGATCCCAGCATCATGGGATGCCTTGCTAAGCATGGAACTTGCTTAAGATTCTCTCTCTCTCTATCTCTCTCTCTCTCTCCCTCTCTCTCTCTATCTCCCCCTCTCCCCCACCCCTCTCCCCAGCTCACGTGCTCTATCTCTCTTTAAAAATGAAACAAACAAAAAACTCTGAAACTGACTAGGTATTCAGTGATACTAAGAGGTGTGTGGGGTTGCCTGGCTGGCTCAGAAGGAAGGGCATTTAACTCTTGACCTAAAGGTCATGAGTTTGAAACCCACACTGGGTGTGGACATTACTTAAAAAGAGAGAGAGAGATTTGATCTTATTGAGCACCAGCAGCTATTCTGTGACCATGAGGTAAAAAGCATATGAGGAAGACTGAGAGAATCATAGAGATGTTGGCTGCCATCTTTGAACGGCTGAAATCAGTTTTGCAGTTCGGGCCATTGCATTAGCATTTGAGGCAGAACTCAGGGGCTAACCACATCTGATCTGTATTCTGTGTTTCATCCAGAACAGTAAGGGAGGCTGGGACAGTGAGCACGTGAAGCTTTAGCAGGCTCTCTGTGAGAGCGACAAGGGAGAAGAGGATTGGCTAGAATAGAAAGAAGCAACCTACAGTAATGGTCACATGCTCTTAAAAAAGGACACTTCTTTTTTTTATGTTTATTTATTTATTTTGAGACAAAGGTCGAGAGTGTGCATTGCAGGGGAGGGGCAGAGAGAGAGCAGGAGAGAATTCCAAGCAGGCTCTGCATTATCAGCACAGAGCCCAACTCAGGGCTTGATTCCATGAACCGCAAGGTCATGACCTAAACCAAAGTCAAGAGTGGGATGTTTAACCATCTAGGCCATCCAGATGCCCCTAACAAGGACATTTCTGTTCTTAATATAATTAAGCATTATAAAGTCCAAGTAAACATCTTCTAGAAAGGCTGCTTCAGTACTTTCCATTTTTGCCAGTATTTATACACCAGAATCCTGGAATCACTCACAGAGACAGCACGAGGCATCGGGTTAGTGCCTCACCACTCAGATGTGGGTCCCTGACCAGCAGCATTAGCATCTCAGGACCTACCCTCACCTACCAAGCTAGAACCTGCCTTTTCCCAGGATCCCAGGATTCCCATGCATATTAAGGTTTAAGAAGCAGTGCTGCGGTCCATCCCTATCAGATACTTATGTAAGAGCGTCCAAGCTCAAACCTTAACCAGGCTGATACTAAGACTCAGGCCAGAGGGCCCGGGCGGCAGGTCCTTTTGGAATCTATGCCTTCTGAGGCCTGGTTCCCCCACTTTGGGAAAAATTCGTCTAAAAGGAAGAGACTCAGGCACACAAGTTTAACTCCAGGAAATGTTTCACTATTCATTCATTCAATACTTTATTTAGCACCTCGAACATACTCTCAATGGCATGACAAATAAAATCAATATAAAGTATGGTCCCTGTTCTCAAGGAGTATGCAGGCTGGTAGGGAGATGAGGATGCCATTGGCTATTACAGTGTTAAGGACAGGGTGCCCGGGAGCACAGAAGAGGGCAGCTTTCTCGGATGTTGGCAGTGGACGTGGGCAGTGAGAAATATCACCGCCGAATCCCAGATGACGCGTAGGAGGCAGTTAAAAGAAGGGAGAGAGACTAAAGGAAATGCCTTCAGGCCAAGGGCAGTATTTACAGAAGGAGTATGTGAGATCAGCAAGCAAGTGTGGGGAAGCCCACAGAAAAGAAGGGGGGTGGTCAGAAATGGGGCCAGATGGAAGGCAGGATTCAGACCGTGCAGGGTCTTAGGGACCGTAGTGAGGAGTCTGAACTTCACTCTTGAGGCTAAATCCAGAGACCAGGAAGGCCTCTAAGAATTAACCTGCATCCCTGCCTCT